GGGTTTAGGGTTTAGGGGTTTGAAAGGAAAGCAAAAACTATCACGAAGGCCACCTAGGGTAGGAACCCCTAACCCGTAAGCCCGGCCACCTAGGGCAGGAACCCTAACCCTTAAGCCCTAAGCCCTAAACCCTAAACCCTAAAACCCTAAACCCTAAACCCTAAAACCCTAAACCAAACCCTAAACTCTAAAGGAGGTCCAGGAAGTGCTTGACGGGGTACATTAGTGTTTAGGGTTTAGGGGTTTAGGCGTGGGCTTCCTATAGCTTTAGGTGAAGGGTTTAGGCTTTAGGGTTTTAGGGTTTAGGGTTTAGTGCCCCGTTAAAGGATTCTATGCAATTTTTCGCTCAGGCTTTGCTATGAAGATTACGATGGTGAGAAGGGAACCGCGCCAATGGTTCCAACCTACTTTTGTTTGCATCTTGAGGTAGGGTCGTACATAATTACATCTTTCCTTACTTGGTGTTGTACAGAGTTAAGGATTCAGAGTTCTTGGGATGCTCAATAGTTCAGGCCGTTGTGTCTTGCTGTGTTTTTGTTTCAACTTTCTCCTTGCGGAACCTGATGGACCAGGGTAATGGAACCATGAAGCAGCAGGCAATTGCAACTGGACGGCTTACAACCAGGTTACCAAGTCATGAGTACATACCATGGTACAGGTTTCTTCGATGAGACCTGCTGCACCAGATGGCCAGCACAAGGACATGAATCCGGGGATCATCCCGCAGAACCCTAAACCCTAAACCCTAAACCCCTAAACCCTAAACCCTAAAACCCTAAAACCCCTAAACCCTAAACCTTTAAACCCTAAACCGTTTCTGCGGCGAACTCATGCTTCGACTCCGATAAGTTGGTGTTGGCTGAGACCACAACTCTGCGAGGATCGTGTCCGGCTTGGTGTGCGCACTCACCTGCACCCGGGAAGTTCTGGGTTGGTTTACGGTGTTTGCAGGTTTACGGCTTCCATGGTTGTATCTAAACCCCAAACCCTAAAACCTTAAACCCCTAAACCCTAAAGCCCTAAACCCTAAACCGGTTTACGGCCTCCATGGTTGTATCTAAACCATAATAGATACCCTAAAACCCTAAATTAACCCTTAAACCCTCAACCAAACCTGGTAACCTGCATTCGCGAGCTCAGGCCAAAAAGGCCCTTGCAGAAGTGAAGCGTGTGTTCGGCATTGCACGGGGACACGCAGGACTTCAGACCACAACTAACACCCTCAAGAGGTTTGGGCGTTAGGGCTTTAGGGTTTTAGGGTTTAGGTTTTAGGGTTTTAGGGATTAGATGGTTTAGTGTTGCGGACCATTGTACGGGTCTTCCAGAAATCCAAACAGGCCTACACCCTAATCTCCCAGACGCTGCACCCGGAACACAAGACCTCTCTCTTGAAGACCACACAAATAGTTAAAGGAAACTACAGGTGGGGAGTTTAGGGAAATAAGGCTTCTATAAGGTATATAGACCTTCTATTAGGCTCCTAGGCTTCTATAAGGGTAACTACCCACCTGAAACTGTCCTAGAAATAGCCAGACGGCTAAAGCGACAGACATCTACCACGGCTTAAGCTGATAAACCCTACCTGGACCCTCACTTGTAGGGGCAGTGTGTTTGCATGTATGGTTTCCTTGTTTAAGGTCATTGTAAGGTCATCAAGTCGGAACCCGACCACCATCGAGCTCTGAACCGAAGCCCTCAACCCTCACTCCGAAATCTGAACCTTATCTGAAAGCCTGCCTCAACCCCAAATGACCTACGTTTTTGAAGGCTGTATGTCGAAAAGGAGATCAGAACAAGGGGTTACCTGAAAGCCCGAAGCGCCCTCCGCCCAAAACAACCCTAAACCCTAAACCCTAAACCCCAAACTCTAGACCCTAAGCCGTCCCTACACCTGCAGTTCACAGGGAAACAGTTGGGGAAGAACCCCCCCTGGGGCCTTCTTGAGGATGAACTCGATCATGCCCTGACCCCCGAGGAGTTTAGGGCTTTGCGGTCGCAGGTTGGGGGTTCATAGGGTTTACGGTTTTGGGGTTTGCGGTCGCAGTTTAGGGGTTTATAGGGTTTGGGGTTTGGGTTCACAGTTTGGGGTGTAGGGTTTAGGGTTTGGGGTTTGCGGCACAGTTTGAGGTTTGGGGGTTTAGGGTTTGGGGTTCGGGTTTACCGGGGGGGTTTTACAAAGAGTTTGTTAGAGCTCCATCGTCGTTATAGAGGTTCTGTAAGTCTATACTTTATTATGGCTCCCATAACTATTTAGAGAGATGATTTAGAAGGGCTCACAGGAGACTTTGCCAGGAGAAGGAAGGCAGAATGGCCCTCGTGTCGGTGCGCATCAGGAGCCCTGCATGCCTCCCAAGGGGTTCAGCTAACCCTCAACCCGGAGAGTCTATCCAGATCCTGGAAGATGTTTCTCCTAGAGTTGCCTACCTTGTCCTGAATTTTCCTAAGCTAGACTTCCTTATTCATCATTAAGGTATACACACAGCAGATGTTCACTGCCGCTGCTTGGCCCATCGATGTGCGACGCTACTGCGCGTTGTGCTGCCGCCGGGGTCCGCAGCTCCAAAGTTGGCAACTGTGCGAGTCCCCGGCCAATGCTGGCAAGCTCTAGCCTGCAATGACAGTCAACCAGCCGTAATGAGTCTCAGAACAAATACGAACACGGCCGTTTTGCCCGGCGCGGCGCTGCGCAGGTTGGTAAGGATCGCCATCATGACAAGCGTGCGTAAGAGAGCACGCGCAACCCGAGCATACAGCGCGCCCACGCTGGGAAGCCCACGACTGAGCGCAGAACGCGACGAAGACCGGCATAGCATAAGCCCCCCCCATGCAGAGCCCTACTGATAGTTATTAGAAGCCCTGTACTAAACCACGATAATGCCTTATAGTACCCGTTGTAGAAGGTTTTTGTTTGGAGCCCTATGCTGATGACTGAGGCAGCGTTTCTATGCATAAGGAAGCACTTCTGGATTCGGGTAACCTTTGTTCAATCTAGGGCTTAGGTTTAGGGTTTAGGGTTTAGGGCTTAGGGCCTCAGGGCTTAGGGCAGGCATTATCATGGTCCCACTATTAATATCAGCACTGCCATTGCAATTGATATTGTTGCCGGTGCTTTTGAGCTTTCATGCTATCATGTTAAACCCTAAACCCGAAGTTAGTGGATCGGCATCGCTGCGACAACGAGAGCGAGTCTAATGAGGAATCAGGAATCGGCCACGACAACGAGTAAAACCCTAACCCACTAAAGCCCCAAACCCCACAATGCGTCTGAAATCCTTCTAGAACCCCTATCGAACCTATATACGATCCGCTCAAAACCCCTATAGACTCTTTCTACAACCCTTATAATAAAAGCCTTGCAGACTCCTTTCGGGAAGCACTCATAATCACTATACAACCCTTCTAAAATTCTTGCAGAGCTTTCTTAGTGGCCCCTCAGCAGAATTACTTCTGGACCCCGCCCTAAACCCTAAACCCTAAACCCGGATAACCCTCAACGGCCTGTTCCTCGTTGCCGAGGAACTCAGTGACCTGACCAACGATGAGGCTTTAGTGAGATTCAGGGCGATAGTCAAAGGAAACTACAGGTGGGGAGTTTAGGGTTCCTTAAGGGCTCCTTGAAGGGATCTTTAAGGGGTTTAGGGGTTAGGGTTTAGGGTTTAGAGTTTAGGGTATATAGGGCTTCTATAAGGCTTCTATAGGGTATATAGACCTTCTACAAGGGCTCCTATAACGGTAACTACCCACCTGAAATAGAGATAGGGTTTAGGTTCTTACGATTTTGATTGCTTCAGAGACTCAATGCTTCAGTAGGGTTTTGGGGCTTTGGTGTTTAGGTTTAAGGGTTTACAAGGGCTTATACGGGCCTATAGAGGGTTTAGTGGGTGATGCCAAGGGATTTTGGGGGGCCATAAGGGCTTACAACTAAAGGTTCAGGGTAGTTTATAAAGTGCCCCAATTAAGGTTGCCCTGCACATATCAGTAAACCTTTATTTGCAAGCACGCATGCATGCACAATTGGGTGCATATGCCTAGCTCGTACTGGGTGTTCATTGTTGGTTACGACGTGAGAGGTATGGTTCCAACATCATCGGAGGGTGACCCTACACTTGTTCCTAGGTTCCTCATTGACCCCTTAATAATAAGGGTACTGTTATTTAGTTTCAATAAGGGAACCATACAATGAAAAGGGCAAAAGGGTACTACTCAGGAACCTAGGTTCCACCAGCAAGCTGCCAAAAAACCGTGAAAGCAGAGCATCCTGTGCTCGGAATCCCTGAATCGTCTTCAGTTCAGGATTCCCCGAGGGTCCATGTACTTAAATTGTATACGCTTTCGCCTTAAAGTAGTCCCTATATAGGTCCTTCGGGCCCAAAGTATATACTATTTGGGTACATGGACCCTTAGGGATTATGTAGGGATACCTTTCATCACTTGATATTAAATGGCCCTCCACACTTTGCAGAAGTCCCCGCAATGAAGGAGCATTGGGCTTGCACAGGGTTCTTTGCCCCCGAACCCAGCACCCTGAACCCTCGTTTCCAAAACTTAACAACGCAATCGTTTTTTGCTGTTCTCCACCAAAGGCTAACCAACAAGCCTAGCACCCCACTCTCCGGCTTCCACGCGAGTCAAGACCCTCGGGTCATCAGACTCTACGCTTCAACCAACTGTAGAGCGCAACGCAGCGCAGACGGCAACCTCATGTTGCAGACTGGAGTAGACCCTCTCCCTCGTCGACCCTTGCGGCCAGCGCTGGCTCAGTTGCTCACTGCACAGGGCACATGCACACCCACTCCATCCGAAGGGAGCAGCCGAAGCCGGCTGCACATGTTGGGCGCAGATGCAAGCTCGAGGCGTACTGATGTTGTGGGCACGCATGGCCGGCCCAGAGTCCGGAGAAGTGACCTTCCAGACGAGGGGGTCAGTTGTACGGCAAGAAGACAGGATGGCTGCTTCCGCGAAGGTGTTGTCGATGATGTAGTTGATGCGAGGTGGTCGTTCGTGTAGTCGGGCACGTGGCTTGAGGGTTGCAGAGAGGTACTCGGAGGGTGGCTTACTTATAACAGGACTTGGGGCACTTCAAGTCCACATAGGATACTTATTAAACAGTAGGCTCAGTAGGTATAAGCGGCATATACGTCCACGTATAAGTAGGATAACTTTTTGGTATTCGAAAAACTAGACTTTCCTTTTAAGCACTCTCAAGTTAGGAAACATGCGTTTCTACACATCCGAACAAAAGGAAACTGTTGAAACAGGCTTCTGAACCAGAACCCTAATTGATAAACGTCCTTTATTTATGGGCATTGGTTTTTAGATCCGTTGAAACTCCTGTTAGTTGGGGGGGGAAGGGTATTAAGCAGGGATCTACGTTCGCCTACATCCCCAAACCAAAACCCAAAACTCCTAAAACCAAAATAGATCGAGGTTTCATTACTTAATAAGGCGTTTTGGGGGGGCTCGATACCCTGATCATGTTCGGGAAACACGTGCTACTACATACGTATTCAGGCCCTATAGACCTATACAAATCCATACTGAACTCAAAAATCCGGGAAATGCCAAAACACCAAAGATTCGGAGCTTTGAGCTTTCTGCAAGTCGCCTTCTTCTTCACCCACGGCCGGAGCTTCTTCTCAATGATGTTGTTGCCCTGAGCCAGAATTCGCCTAGAAAGACCCAAGCCCAATCTAGGAAAAAACAAGCCCTTCAGGCCCTATCGGGTTTAGGGTTTAGGAGTTTAGGGTTTAGCGTTTAGGGCTTAGGGTTTACGACCCAGAAAACAGGCATACTCAGCGCTAAAGGCCTTGTAAGGATCACAAACTTCAGGTGTGCTGGCTTGGGGTTCGCGGTTTAGGGATTGGTATACAGGGTATATAGGGCTTAGGGCGTTTAGGACATTATTCCGTTCGCTTTAGGATTTAGTATTCAGGGCTGATGGATCTATGTTATTCTCTTCGTTTCTAAACGGGTCGCACCGTCACGAAACTCGGTCAAAGCGGCAGAAAGCGACGGCCCTGACCCCTCACATGTTTCCGGGCGGCGTTGCCCAGAGACTCCAAAACCCTTTAAGGAAGGAATATACCTCAAGCCATATCTGCTCAAGTTCCTAATGTATGTTAAAGTACATTCCTTAATTAACGGGTTTTGGAGCCTCTGGGTATGTGCTTGGACGGTACTGGGGCCCAACACCCTAAGCATTTCTGCTTGGCAGAACCCGATCCGAATTCCTGACTCGGAAGGCTATGATCTGGGTTCTTGTCAAGGAACTTAGTTTAAGAATTCCACAATAGGGATCTCTAGTAAATAGCAGGGTTTCCTGATTACGGCAACTAAGTTAATCCCTAAACAAGATCCAGTGAACCATGCCCCAGAACCGGAGTTCGAGGACAGACTCGGAGGAATATAGAATCCCCGTTCTACTATTCTCTCTTCTTCAACAGCCAGGCCCCAAACAATTCAAACTTTTTAGGATAGACATATATAATATATAAGGCCAAAAAGATTAAAGTTCTCCCATTGGCTATCTAAGTATTAGCTCATGTAGGCCATCATCAACATAGCATGTTGAACAATCCCCTGCGGCATACTGGAACTGGAAAGAAACCTTGACGAGAACCCAGTTAGCAAGATCTCCTAAGGAAGGAACGCCGACGCCATACAACAAACAACCCTAAACCCTAAACCCTAAACAAATAACAAACCTATGGTCTCCTCTGTACGATTTCCTTGACAGCCACTTTGCAGAATAGGTCGTCGGGGCTCCTCAAAGTATGACATCTTATTAGGTACTAAAGGTTGGGCAGCAGGGGCTCCAGGTAAGGCCCCGTACTCCAACCCAACTACCCCCGAAATTCTGCTGGCGTGGCACGTGCACTGCGTCCCAGTCGATGTCGAAGGCAAACGCCCGAGCCTTGTCGGTGGGCACCTGTCAGGGGGTGTGGTAATTATAAACCCTTAACCCTACACCTTGAAACAGCCTAAACCCTAAACTCTAAAACACTAAACCCGAAAAACCTAAACCCTGAAACCCCCCAAACAAAAACCGAAAACCTAAAACCCTCAACCCTATAAACCCTAAAACGCCTAAAACCCTAAACCCTAAAACCCCCAAAACCCGAAAACCCTATCTGTACATACATATATATGTATAAATGAAATGTGTAAGTATATATATATAGAGTAAATATACACATATGTAAGTATATATATATGTATGTACGTATGTATGTATGTATGTATGTATATATATATATGTATGTATGTATATATATATATGTATATATATGGCCAAGGCACAGTTTGGGCATCTTCGGGTTTCCGTGCTTTGGCACCGTGTCAGCTTTGGCAGGCGGCTGGGGGGCCGTCAGAGAGGGTAGGGTTTAGGGTTTAGGGTTTTAGGGTTTTAGGTTTAGGGTTTATAGGGGTTTAGTGGCTAGCGCTTTAAGGTCTAGGGTTTCGGGTTTTAGGTCTAGGGTTTAGGGCTCTAGGGCTTTAGGGTTTAGGGTTTAGGGATTTAGGCTTTTAGGGCTTTAGGGTTTTAGGGTTTAGGGTTTTAGGTGTAGGGTTTAGGGTTTTAGGGTTTAGGGTTTTAGGATTTAGGGTTTAGGGTTAGAGGGAGAAAAGGATCAGAATAAAGAAACTCTTTTTTTCATAATAATTCCAAACAAAGCACTTGCTACCTTTGGGGACATGTAAGCAGGGCTTCCGAATCAGATTCCAAAGGTCCTATAGCAGACCCAAAATCCAAAAGTTGTCTTGCGCACCAGCTGTGCCGGTAGCATGGGTTCCCTCCACATTCGCGAAGGATCTCTCTTTAAGTCGTCAGGTTATGGGAGAGCGCCCAAAAATACCCTGCCGTTTCAGGATGTTTCAGGACATATATATATATATATGTATATAAATAAATAAAAAAGTGAATATAGATATAAATATAAATATACTTATAAATATACACATGGATATAAATAAATAACTCAAAATAAATATTATAAGTATAAATATATATATAAATAAATGTATATATATATATACATACATATACATACATAAGGACATCGAAACACGCCCGAAAAAGGTGTGCTTTAGAGGGGGGTTCAGGTAATTAGAAGCCGCATCCAGCGGAGTGGAATGTAGCGGAAGCCTTCAAGTTCTAACTTAGGGCTGAGGTTTGGGGTTTAACACATCACGGAATGTACTACTCATAGGCTCCATTGTAGTTTCTTTTTGGGATTACCTCACAGGATCCTAAAACCCTAAGCCCTAAACCGTAAAGCGAACTAAAAGGAACTACAATGGAGCCTATAGGTAGCTGCCAGCCGCAGTGATGTCCGAGTAGAACTCTACGGAGCCCAAGCCCTCAAAACCTACCAGAGCTCTCAACAAAAACAGAACCCGTAACCCCGATGAAGTGAGGGTTTAGGGCGTAGGGTTAGGGTACCCAAAACCCTATAATCCCTAAACCCTAGAACGCTAGATTCGGCCTCCTCTGTCCTCCACCCCGAACCCTAAACACACTTGCCACCCTGAGCCTGGGGCACAGGGTTCGGGTTTCGGGTTCGGGTGTAAGTGTTAGGGTTTAGGGGTTTAGGGTTTAGGGCTTGGGGCCCAAAGGGTCCCAACTGCCTATATTGGGGGGATGCACTTAGGACCCTTTGGGAAAAAAGGCTCAGGGTTCGGGTCTAGAGCCCCTCCACTTCCGATCCTCATGCCCTTAAAATTACGGTTTAGGGTTTAGGGTTTAGGGTTTAGGGCAGAAAGCACTGGTCATCCTTAGCCCATCTTTCAACTGGTCGCAGCATCAGCTACTTAGGGTTTGCTCCTCACACCCTGATGGCTCGCATCGGTGGGTGATTCGGAAGGTCTAACCCACCAACTCCGATTTGGTAGTTTCCGAAAATTAGGGTACCTTATTTTGGGGTCCTCATAATAAGGATCCTACTATTTAGGGTACTATATTAGGGTCCCCTTTTTCGGAAACCCCCATTTGGTATGGCCTGCTGGATCAGCCGGCGCATCTCATCATCCCTGGCTCTATTGTGGAGTGAGGGAATAGGGCAGGTTGAGGTTCATGGAACTGCATCATAAGGGACACCGAATTTCAGAACGTAAGGGCTTCAGGGCTTTTGGGGTTCGAGGTTCAGGGTTTTAGGATGTTCGGGGGTTGGGGTAAATGTGGCGGTAGGAGGTTGGCTGCGTTTTGTGTCTCGGGTTATACAAAGAACTCCGATGGTAAGCTGGAAAGCCCATACCCGAAACCACTATAGCTACATATGTATATATACATACATACATGCATACATACATACATACATGCAAGCATGTATACATGCATACTTCTATACATGCATGTCTGCATACATGCATACATACAAACATGTATACATGGACACATGCATGCATGCATGCATGCACACATGCATACATGCATACATACATACATACATACATACATACATACATACATACATACATACATGCATGCATGCATGCATGCATACACACATACTCACATACATACATGCATGCATGCATGCATACATACTCACATACATACATGCATGCATGCATACATACATGCAAACAAACCAACATTCAGACAGACAGACAGACAGACAGACAGACAGACATACATAAATACGTGCTTACATACATGTGCAAACAAACAAACAAACAAACAAACACACACACACACGCCCGCACACACAACCAACACCACCACATCTGCAACACCAAATGCCACTCAAAAAAAAACCGATTAAAGGACTGAGTCCCAGTCGGCACCCAAATGCCCTGACGTGCCTCAACCCCAAACCCTAAACTGGATTTTTGTTTGGTTTTGAGGGTCGGAGCGTGTCTGCGCATGTTTGTCGGTTTAGAGTTTCGCAAAAGAGAGAACCCCGGAATAGCGACCCTGAGTAGAAACATCCTTGACACTAAGCCTCTAACCTCTAAAGAAACCAAAGGGTTTAGGGTTTAGCGGTTAGGTTTAGAACCCCTCAAGCAGGAAAGGAACATGTATGAATCACGGAAACTGAGCAAACAAAACAGGTGAAACTCGACCAGTAAACCAAACAACAACAAAGTAACAGCAAGAATATGGGTAACTGTCAACATAACGTTCTCTTTACGGAACCCCATAAAATTCTACTCCTACTACGGCACCCTATAAAGTTTGGGAACTCCAAAAAGGACCCTAATTTGGACAACCACCCACATAATAGAACACCCTAAACCCGAAACCCTGAAACCTGAAACCCTAAACTGGGTTGTAGTTTTGGGGCCCTTTACAAGTATTCATGAATAGGTACCTCTATAGAAACCATAAAAGGGAAAGTTTTAAAGCTTCCCAAATTGCCACCTCGTAGATGACAGCAACAAGCTCGCAAAAAGAGCAACTCTAACCCGAAAACCCTAAAACCCCACAGCCCTCAACCCTCTTAAACCCCTTCCCCCTAAAACCCTAAAACAAAGCTTGCAAAGAGCCACTCCGGGCCTCAGCTTCCTATCCTCGGCGGGGGCGGTCGGCGTCTCCAGGCGAGTCAGGGGCTTGTGCTTCCTCGGCTGACCTGAGTTGTTTTGAGGGGTTTAGGGGTTTCGGGTCTGTTTTGAGGGGTTTAGGGCTTAGGGTTGGTTTTGAGGGGTGTAGGGCTTAGGGTTTGTTTTGAGGGGTTTAGGGCTTAGGGTTTGTTTTGAGGGGTTTAGGGTCTGCATGGGGCTTAGGGGGTTGGAGACAGGGGTTCCTCCGAGCATTCCTTGAATTTGAGGGCTCTTTCGGGTTTAACTTTAGGAGGTTTCGGGGGAGAACATGTCGAGGCTCCGAATCGACCTTACCTAGCCTGGTAACTGTACCGTTCACCAAAACCACCGCACACCCCAGCGGCACTGGCACCTAGGCTCATGCCAAAAGTCTTTCGTGGCGCTCGGAGGCGCTGTTGCCGTCGGTTGCATTGTTGGGTGAACCCTAAGCTGCCCAAAACCCCCAAAAACCCGAAACCCTATACACCACCCAAAACCCCAAAAACCCAAGAGCCCACTCCCAAAAAAAACAAAGGCCCTAAAGACTCTATAAACCCTACTTATAAAGCCCAAAACCCTATTAAACTCTATAAACCCTATAAAACCCCCAAAACCACAAAATCATAATACACCCCAAAACCCCCAAACTTCTTATAAAGCCCAAAACCCTATAAAACCCTATGAAACCCTATAAGCCCCAACAACCCCAAAACCCGATCTGGAAGAGCCGCCGTTGGCATCGAGGTCCTCGGGCTCCTTGAAGAGCGCCTCCCCCGGAGCTTGTAGGGTTTTTTAAGGGCTTTATAGGGTTCCTTTAAGGGGATCTATAAGGGTTTTAAGGGTTTAGGGTTTAGGGCTTCGATCCGCTTTCAAGCTTTTTTTTTGGGGGGGTTTATAGGGTGTAGGGCTTGTAGGGTTTAGGGGTTTTAGGGGTTTTAGGGCTTAAGGCTGTTAGGGTTTGGGGTTTTAGGGTTTAGGGCTTACCTGGACCCCCAAAAGTATGTGAAATAATAGCTAGGGCTTTTAGGGTTTAGGGGTTTTAGGGGCTTAGGGCTTCTATAGGGTTTAGGGTTGATAGAGTTTGGGCTTAGGGGTTACATAGGGTTTAGGGCTTATAGGGTTTACATAAGGTTTTTGTTTTAGGGTTTATAGGGTTTAGGGGTTTAGGGGTTTTAGGGGCTTAGGGTTTAGGGCTTTATAGGGTTTCGGGTTGATAGGGTTTAGTGTTTAGGGTTGATAGGGTTTAGGGCTTATAAGGTTTATAGGGCTTAGGGCTTATAGGGCTTATGGTTTAGGCTTTCACTGCTTTCAGAGTTCCACTGAAGGTTGCTCTAGGGGTTTCGTTAAGGGATCTTAACGGGCATTCTTGGGCTTGAGAGCTTTGGGTTTTGGGCTTTTGGGATTTAGGGTTTTGGGTGTTCTAGTCTTAACGCTTTGGGGCTGTAGGGTTCCAGGGCTTTTGGTGTGGCCCTCGGGCTCTATAGGGTTTAGGGCTTTGGGGTTTAAGGGTAGGGTTTTAGGGTTTGGGGCTTTAGGGCTTTAGGGTTTAGGGCGTCCTAGGATTCCTAGGGTCTCTATGAAGGTACGGTTACCAAGAGTGCCCCTTAAGAGATCCCAATAGCCTCTAAGAAAATTAAGGACTTCACCTAAAATCATTCCATGAAAAGAACCTTAGGGACCTTAGGGTCATTTTCCGCAATTTGGGGCTTAGTGTTTAGGGTGATGTTCCGCAATAAAAGGGGGTTGGTGACTCTGGGCAGTGGTGGTGTTTTTGGAACGGGTTTCTGTCAGCGTCCAGGGGATATCTTGAGGGCTTCAAAGACTCAAAGGCTTCCGGGTCTAGGCTACTGCTGATGATATAAATCCTGCATTTATATGCAGGATTTAAATCATCAACCGTAGTTTTAGGGTTTAAGGTTTGGTTTGTGGGATGCTGGCAAAAAAGCCCATCCCCAAACTTGATCTGAGCTCCTCCCTAAACCCTAAGCCCTAAACCCTGTAAAATTTGGGTCGTAATGGTTTTGGAGGGGCGGTCAAACAAATACTGGTACTGGTCGTATACTTAGCCCAAAACTGAAGTCAAAGAACATGTGCAGGGACAGTTCCACAAAACATAATTAGAGTAGGGGTACCTTGAAGGGCGCCTTTTAGAGAGTTGACTGAGGATTCTGCAGAGGTACTGTTGGGGTTAACATACGGTTGATGATATTATAGATCCTGCATTGCTTTAAGGACCCTAACCTATGGGAATTATGGCATATACCTTATTATGGGTAATGCAGGATTTATACCATCAGCCGTAGATTTTAAGTTGGGGTCAATCCCAAACCCTGTCCCATCAATGACCCTCACGACGGTCCTTTGAACATCAAAGACTCACAGTCTCTGTCCCTTGGCAGGCGAAACCTGTGTCGAGTATCCTAGGCACGGTAGACTGGGCGGCATGGCGGAGCACACCCTTGCAAGCCCTTCAACTAAGAGCCTAACTTGTAGATCTCCTAGGAATAGCAAAAGCCTATGTAAGGCAAGAGTGCCTGCTATAGGGTGCCTAAACCATGGGACCAGGGTTATGGGATCTTTTGTTGCTTTCTAACTATAACTATTGAGGAACCCTGAGCACTTGCTATTGGTACTTCTTCCGACCCCTATCGTACAAAGGTGCCCCCTAAACCCTAAGCCCGAAACACTCAACACCTAAACCCCAAACCCCAAACCCGCCCAGGAACGCCCAAAGCGCAGGACGCCTGCACATGAGCCGGGGGAGCTGCCTTCGGAGCGGGCGCCTCGGAAATGTGGGCTTTAGGGCTCAGGGGCTGACCGTAGGGCTCCTTCAAGGGTTCCTTGAAGGGTTCTAAGGGCTTGGGGTTTAGGGCTTAGAAGCCCTAAGGGCTTGGGATTTGCACCCTCCGTAACTCTAAAGTTTAGACTCTACAGCCACAAGCCCTGCAAAGCCCATAGATTGTTATTTGTTGTAAGGTGTAACGGTCTCTGCACAATTTCACTTGCAAAATGAACCCGGGCAGCCCTCACAAGGCATCATCCACGGGCCTTGGGTTTAAGGTACATAGGCCATGCCAACCACGCAGTCAACCTCCAGAAAGCCCAAACAGCGTCAACCAGACCAAACTCAGGACAGCACCGGCGCGCTCATGATCTCTGCCTGATCGTCGCGTGGTTATGGCAATGGCTGCGTGCGGCTTGACAAATAGAAGAGACCAGATATCAGCCACATGAAAGGTACCAAAGATAAAGCATATCATTGCTAAGATTGCAATCACTATCCACGGAATGAGCCAAGACTTATATAACTCTCGGATTTCCAAACACAAGACCAACTTAAACCTGAACCCTAAATGCCCAACTCCTCAAGCCCTAAGACCTAAGATACCTCATCCCACCGTCAGGCCCTCAACCCTAATGCCTAAACCCCGCAACACAGAGCGAGCTTCGCCGTTCTTGGATTTTGGCTTTTGTCCCATTCAATCAGCAAAACTATAATAATGGGGCGTGGGGTTAGGGCCTTGTATACTTGGGTCCCACAGCTTGGGGATTCGAGGGCGTAATGGCCAACGGCAGGGTTCGCAACAGCACCTTGTCGCCAAAGCCATCCTACTTGCCCATTTCTACGAGCTGCCTGGAAACTTCACCCACAAGACCAAGCACCGAAACCACATTAACGATACCAGTACTGGGTCTAGGGGTTTAGGGTTTATCGATATTGCCGAAATACCACTGGCCTCCAGAGTCAGCTTATACCTCGTGTAGCTTTAGTCCAGGGGCTTCTATCTTTTCATCGTTCTATCTATCTATCCACGTGTCTATCTATCTACCTGTGTATCTATCTATCTGTGTATCTATCTGTGCATCTATCTGTGCATCTATCCGTCTATCTGTCTATCTATCTATCTATCTATCTATCTGTGTATCTATCTATCTGTGTATCTATCTATCTATGTACCTATCTATCTATCTATCTATCTACCTATCTGTCATTCTGTCTATCTGTCTATCTATCTATGTATGTATCTATGTATCTATCTATCTATCTATCTATTTGTCTACTATCTATCTATTTGTCTATCTATTGATCTATCTATCTATCCATCTATCTACCTATCTATCTATCTATCTACCTGCCTACCTTTCTTTCTCTATATTTCTGTATATGCATATTATATATATATGTATGTATATATATATATATACTCTATACATACATACATACATACATACATTACATACATACATCCATGCATGCATGCATGCATGCATGCATGCATACATACATATATTTATGTATTTATCATCTATTTATCTATTTATTTATTTGCTTCACACTGCGACCCTGGAAGTTCACAGCACCAGCCTGCACTGACTGCAGGAGCTTAGCAGCGGCGTCCTGACAGTTTAGGGTTTGTTTAAAGTGTAATGGAACGGTCTTTGCGACCATCCAGCCTCGCGAGCCTACACTAGGTGAAACAAACTTCAAGCGACACAGGCCTCAGCAGAGAACATCCACGTCAACACAAATCATTCCATACACGACCCCTTCCACTGTTGCACCAACCATTGAAGACGTAGGGAATAAGGTCGACAATGTCAACGAGGAGGCCGATGTCACACTCCATGTCCATATTCTGCCAAGGCAAGATCCGGTCCAAAGCCGGGGGTTCTTATTCTCATACATGATCTCGTTGAGGGCGATCTGAAAGGCCCGTGCGCACGAGGCAACCTGACGCACCCTCAAGGGCGTGTGACGATAGTGGTATGCCAGCGGCAAGGTGTCGTTCTCATCATGTTGCGCTATGCGCAGCGAGCGCAGACTGAGCCTTGCCCAGGCGATCGCCTCCCCTGAGGATACTTGGCAGTCCACAGGCAGGGCATGCCCTCCATCCCACATTTGAGCCAGAATGCCATAGAGGCCTGGGTAATCGACTTTCACATCAAGTCCGTCTCGCTGCAGGGACAGGCCCCACAAGGGCTTGCCCGGGCGGTTCAGCTCCTTCGCCTTTAGGGTTTAGGGTTTTGGGCTTCCATATACCCCCAAAAT